ATCATATTCTCAAAGAAACTCCCACTTGTGCTAAGGATCTGTTATGAAAACCAAGAAATAAAAATAAATTGAAACATAATGTTTAAAAATGAGAAACTATTGATTTTCTTCATTACACTACAAATACCGAAATATTTCACTTATCATAGTGGCTATTAAAGATTACTGCTAAATTATCTGTCTTAAGGACTTACTTGGATTAGGAACCAAAATAGAAATAGACTCAGGAGATAATTCTATAACCTGCCAGATAAAAGAAGTAATGTGCTTATTATTTGAGGCTAGATTTCTTTCCCAAGAATGAATTGTCTTCTAGAAATTATATGTGTGAAAATAAATACATAAAAATAAAATAAAGGGGCCGGGGAGATGGCTCAGTAGAATAAGTGCTTCCCTGGCAAGCGCAAGGGCCTGAGTTCAATCCCTGGTCCCACAAAAAATAAAAAATAAAAAAGAAATTATACGTGTGGTTACCCATGAATGTCTATACATCAGTTTAAAAAAGTTTACCTTCACAGTCAAATCTTCGCTACCCAGTGTGACATGAACTTGAATAGGGGGGTAAACACCTTTGTCAGCATGGTGTTCCATAGTTGCTCTCATTGCATTCTGAAATATATTAGAGTTACATTAAAAATATTTTTAAAGAAAGAAGTCAATTAGAATTTAAGTATATATGCATTATATATAAAGTTTTTGAAAATCTGAAGGAAATATGCTAATGAGTCATAATTCTTACAGCCATATTTAAAGAGTTATTAAGAATTGGGAAGAATTGAGATGATGGAAGAGGACTGAGGGATATGATATATATTGATTTAGAGTCCAACTAAATTCTGCATGTTTTCCAAAGTAAACTTCTAAACATCTTTAATAGCACTTAAAGTATTAAAGCAAAAAATAAAAAATAAATTCTGTCCACTTTACAATTTTGATAATGGACAAAACTTATTTTGCAAATGTAATCTTCAGCTCTACTTCTAAAGAATCAGACTGTCGGGGCCAGGGAGATGGCTCAGTGGTATAAGCGCTTCCCTGGCAAGTGCAAGGGCCTGAGTTCAATCTCCAGTTCTGCAAAGAAAAAAAAAAAAGAATCAGACTGTCATAAAATTGTTTAAGAAATAATTTTTTCCAAAAGGTACTAAGAGCCTTTCTTGCTCCCTGGCCATCTTGGCGGCTGCTCCTAGTTGAGGGCCGTCCACACCTAAAGCAGGAAGATGGTGGCCTCAAGACGACGAAAAAATCTCTGTAGTCCATCAACTCTAGGCTCCAACTTGTTAGGAAAAGTGGAAAATACATGCTAGGGTACAAGCAGACGCTGAAGATGATCAGACAGGGCCAAGTGAAATTGGTCATCCTTGCCAACAACTGCCTAGTCTTGGGGAAATCTGAAATAGAGCACTATGCCATGTTGGCCAAAACTGGTGTCCACCACTACAGCGGCAATAATATCGAACTGGGCACAGCATGTGGAAAATACTAGAGTACGCACACTGGCAATCATTGATCCAGGTGATTCTAGTATCGTGAGAAGCATGCCAGGACAGACAGGTGAAAAATAAACCAAGCAGAATTTTTCATTAATAAAACCTGCCAGAGGGGCCGGGGAAATGGCTCAGTGGAATAAGTGCTTCCCTGGCAAGTGCAAAGGCCTGAGTTCAAACCCTGGTTCCGCCAAAAAAAAAAAACCTACCAGAGCTTGAAAAAAAAAAAAAAAAAAAAGGTACTAAGAGCAATGGACTACTGTTTATGCTAATCTGTAACTATTGATATTTAAATTGTAAAACTATTTTAACCAATTTCCAAAGGATATGTGGTATGCAATGACAACCATATTGTAAACATTTAACACAACAAAATGACACTTAGCACTGGAGCAGAAGCAAAGAATAGATACAACTACTTGGGCAGGGAACACACAGATCATAGATCAACATGCATGAGGCTCTAGGTTCCATCCCAGCACTATTTAAAAACAAAAACAAAAACAAAACAACAAAAGGGCCAGCAAGATAGCTCAATGGACTAAGCACCTGCTTAGACAAGTACAGGGACTGATGTCCCATCCCCAGCACCACATGCTGTGCTGGCCCTGCCCCTCTGTGCACTGAGCTGGCCAGAGACTGGGCCTGGTGGTGCTGGCCTGTCATCTCTGCGTCAGGGAGGCAGAAATCAAATGAATCACTAAAGTCCAAGTCCAAGCTGCACAGTGAGATCCTGTACAAAATACATTTTAAAAAAGCAACTAAGGGGGATGGGAAGATGGTTCAGTAGAATAAGTGCTTGTCTGGCAAGCTCAAGGGCCTGAGTTCAATCCCCGGTTCCACCAAAAAAAAAAAAAAAAAAAAAAAAGCAACTAAAAAAGGCAAAAGACAGGACTGACTTTAGAAACAACAGTACGGCCCTGACACATCATTCAAGAATGAAAAGACCTGACAAGGAGTCTGCATCATTTCTACCAAAGTAGTTTAAAATCAGGCTCCAGAGGCAAGCCACTGTTAGAGGGATTATCAAAATACATTAAAGATTACAAAACACTTTTATTTGCCACTACAGGGCACAAGGCCTTTAAGTGACTGGAATTTTAAGGAAAAAATCAGCTTTAACACTTTAAATTCAATTGCTATTTAAATATTTTGACAGATCATTTTTTGACAGATTCTTGCCATCTTAGAACAATAATGGCATTCTTAAATCTTGTTTTCCTGAGATATTCAGTCAGTTTCAGTGTATTTCTCTATTACATTGTTAGATAGAAAACCATCTCTTTTCTAGTTTGCTGCTGGCTGAAGACACACACACAAAAAAAAATACGACTCTACAGGATTCTGATTTAGGGCAGTTGTTTTCAGCCAAACAGGCCTATCAACTCATCAACCAACCAGCAAGCATCTTTAGACGGGAAAAAAAATACTCAACAATATCTATATATTTTTCTTTATTTTTTCAAAATCTATCATACAGAGCAAATATAATGCAGAAACCCTCCATAAATCAATATGAATTACTTTAAAAGAAAAAAAAGGTAGGTTTATCAGTGGGGCCCATGGGTGGAAAGGCAGAAATCACTTTTAAATATGTTTATAAAAATATCATCATAACTTTCTGGAGCACCTGTAATATGATACCACTGTTTCACACACTTATTATGTTATTCCTTTTTTTTTTTTTTTTGAGATAGGTTCTCACTATGTAGTCCAGTCTGGATTTCTCCTGTCTCAGCCTTCCAAGTGCTGGGATTACATGAATGCACCACCAGGCCCAGCCTCAATCTTCATAAATAACCCTGGGTAGTACTTTTGTTTTACAAAAGAAGAATCTAAGGTTCTGAGGGAATCATGACTTGCCCAAAGTCACATACATATTAAGTAACACAAGGAAGACTCAAACCCAGGTCACTGTGACTTCAAGGCCTGAGTTCAGCCAAGTGTGGTGAAACACACACATGTAATTCCAGCATGCTGGGAGACTAAAGCAGGAGGATTGGGAGTTTGAGCCCAGTCTGGGCAACCTGGTCATTCAGTAAGGCCCTGTCTCAAAATAAAAGATTAAAAATAGGGCTGAAGGGGGCCGGGGAGATGGCTCAGTGGAACAAGTGCTTCCCTGGCAAGTGCAAAGGCCTGAGTTCAATCCCCAGTTCCACCAAAAAAAAAAAAAAAAAAAAAATAGGGCTGGAGATGTAGCTTAGTGCAAAGGCTCTGGGTTCAATCCCAGTCTTGCGGGGTGGGGTAAGGGGATGGGAAGCCTGAGCTCAGCACATGGAGGTGCCCAACCATATGGATGAAAGGCTGTTCTGGAGCAGCGTGACATGATAAGGCATGAAACAGCATGTTCTAATGAAAAAGAACCCAGAGGGATATCTGACTTTCCAGGCAGATTCCTATCCTCAGAAAGTGCTGATAAAGGTTATGTAATACTATTTTACAAACCTTGAAAAGTTCAAACACCATGTGATAGAGATGGGATGGTACATAAACCACTTGTATTGGCTGTCCTGGTGATTTTGCTATAGAGCAGAAGAGAAAAATATGAAAGTACAGAGAGATGTGCGTAAAGCATTTTTCAGAATAAATTGTGTAGTGATGAAAAGAAAACATTAACTATGGAGGATAGTATTATTTGGGAAGAACTGCCACACCACTTCTTCACTGTATTAGTGTTTGAACCCCCAACTCATAAACATTTACAACTGACAAAGACCAAGCCTGCGGCCATTTGTCAGATAACAATTTGAGCAGCACATCCTCCTATCCTTCTCTATAGTGCTGTCTTCTTAAACTATACTTAACATTCAGCTAGGAATCTTACTTCCCAAAGACAAGTACTAAAGTCTATAAATCAGTCTCATTCACATAATACATTTAAAAAGAAAAAAAAAAAAAAAAAGCCAATTCCTGTGTGTTTCACCTGGATGGAATGTTGTCTATTTTATTTCAGTTAAAAAAAAAATTGGCCAGTGTGGTGGAACACCCCTGTCATCTCAGCATTCAATAGGCTGATGCAAGAGGACTGTTGTAAGCTCAAGGCCATCCTAACTACACAGCAAGATGCTGGCTCAAAAAAACCCAACCCAAAACAAAACAAAAAAAATTTTAACTACCATCAGTTTCTCAAGGGATACTACTTCTACATTCAAACATTTAATAGTCTCCATTGGGGCTGGGGAAGGGTAGGCTGTGTGCATGTAGAATAGATCCACAACATAGCAAAGGGATGAGACTCATCACACTTTAGAATAATTTAATCAATAAATCAATGCTAAATTTGACCAATAAATCAATCTCTCCTCTGAATAAACTCCCTCTGGGGACCACAAAAGGGACTAATGGAAGCTGCCCATAGCAATTCATGTTCCAAATGCACTGTGAAATGTGATTCTTTTTAACAGTTCTACTTTCAACTGGGTAGTTTCTACTGTTCTTTAAAGTCCAGAATACAGCTTTGTAAAAGCTTCATTGTAATTTTATTTTTCCCACCACCTTTCTAAAATGTCATGTGAGCCAGGCAAGGTAGTGCATGCCTCTAATCCCAGCACTCTAAGAGGCTGAGGTAGGAGAACTGCAAATTAAGCCCAACCTGGGACAATTAGTCATTTAGTAAGATTCCATCCCAAAATTAAAATACAAAAAAAATGGCTGAGAACAGGGTCAGCTCCGAGCACAGACCTTCCCCGCAAAAAAAGTGTCATTTTAACCTTTTCTTCTCTCAAAAACCTTTTATTCAAAAGCCACTAGTCAGTGAAAAGATAATCAGAGAAATAGATACTCAAGCAGATATGGATCTATTTTCTTTCTTCTTTTACATCTCCTATCTTTTTGCTTATCAATAAAAAAATGACTTACAACTCAGGAAATAGAAAAAATGGTAAGCTTTACATTGAAGGCCAAATAACTTTAACTGGGCATGGGGCACATGCTTATAATCCCAGCACTCAGGAGGCTGCGGCAGGAGGACTGCTGCAAGTTCCAGGCCATGCTGGGATACACAGTGAGTTAAAAACCAGCAAAAACTGCATAGCAAGACCCTGTCTCCAAAAAAAGGTCAATTTTCTTAACACTTTTTCTGTGACTGACAAGAAAATTAAAATTAAGCAAAAAAATCAACATTATCAATTAAAAATAAGGAAAATGAAATAAAGTTTTTCATATATATATACATACACATATATATATATGTGTATGTATATATATATCTTTTTTTTTTAACATGATTGCTCTTCTTCAGAAAATTTCCTGACTTTCATAAAATGTCCTTTTCTATCAAAACAAATCTAAATATTCTTACGATTTCTTTTCAGGTGGTAATAATACTAGTCATTGAGGAAAAGACATCAAACTTACCATTGAGTTCTTCAAGTTCTAGTTCAGGAGAGTTAATATAATACAAATCACATAGACGCCTAGCATTTTCATAGCCATCTAGTGTGAATTAAAACAAACAAAAAAGGCATTAAATATATGTACTTCCACTTCATGTGTTTGAGATAGTGATAGTATTGACAAATATAAATTTAAAACTCTCTACAGAAGAAAATATACTTCACCAATCTTAGTTTGAGGCAAGTCTCTTTAAAAATAACAGGATAAAGCCTAACAGCCTAACAAGAAAGATTATAACTATTAAAAATTAAAAACAGGAGCTGGGGAGGTGGCTTAGTAGAATAAGGGCTTGCCTGGCAAGCACAAGGGCATGAGTTCAATCCCCAATTCTGGAAAGAGAAAAAAAAAGAAAAATTAAAAACATTATATGGGAAAAAAAGCCATAAGCACATAAAAAAAAAAAAAAACCACCCAGAAGGCTAAAGAAAAATATTTACAATATATATATCAAATAATAAGAGATACACTAAAATGTTTTTAAAGTATCAAAATTTTCAATGCCTTTGAATGCTTTTTTTTGTATTTTTTAGGAAAGAGTCTACAGGGTGTTCAGTGTCTCACTACGAGATCAGACTCGTAGTGATTCTCCTGTTTACAGCCTCTGAAGTGCTGGGATTATAAGTGCGTGCCACCATGCCCAGTTTCAATTGCCCACTCAGCACGCCCTGGGGGCAGGGCCGGGACAGCAAGAATGCTTTTAATTCTAGGAGTCTTGCCTTATAAAATACTAGCACTGATCAGTATATATTTAAGGATGTTCACTACAGTATTACTGGTAATAAAAAAAAGAATTAACTGTGCATCAGTGGAGACTAGATTAATAGGTACTGATACTCTCCACATAGCCACTCAAAAACTTGACATTATATTTAACTATACTGACGTGGTAAGATATCTGCAAATTTGTACAAAGCACATTTCCTACAAACAAAAAAAAGTTCATAAGAATTTGTATGTGTATATCTATAGGTGTTCTAAACAGAAAAAAGTGTGAAAAGGTACAAACCAAACTGCTGTGAATTATTGCTTAAGAAAAATAAGGAAAAAACCAGAATTAGGAACTGGAGAATAGAGATGAATTTAAGGGAACAGAAAGTACAAGATTATCACAAAACTCTTCCTAATAAGAAATTTTATCAGGGCCGGAGAAATAGCTCAGCGGCATATGCGCCTGCCTGGCAAGCATAAGTTCCTGAGTTTGATCCCTGGTACCACACAAACACAAAAAGAATTTTATTAATAAAACATTCACCTTATACATACCATACAATTCATATTATAAAGAACTTTCAAACTCATGTTTATTCCTTATATTTTATCTTATTTGCACATGGTAGTACAAATAGTTGTTTTAATCGCAAGAAACAACACTCAACAATTCTGATTTTTGGATCCTTTTAGAAAGGAGAAATGTGTTTACCTTTAATAACTTCAACTACATCACAGTTTGGATTTATGCTGCCAATGTGTTTTCGATGAGATGGACTTCCTTTTCCCCCAAACAATAAAGCTAGTAAAAGATGAAGAACAAAAATGAATCTACCTGTCATTTCCAGATATGAATATTATTTCTCCAAATGATGCCAAATTGAACAATTGTTTTCCTTAAGCATAAATATGCCATTCTACATTCAATAAAACACTGTTTTGTATGGCGGTCTACTTATTTTTAACACACAAAAAAAGTAAAACTAAACGTTCTCTCTAGGACCAGGGAGACAGCTCAGTAGAATAAGCACTTGCCTGGCAAGCACCGGGTCCTAAGTTCAATCCCTGGTACCACAAAAGAAAAAAAAAAGTTCTCTCCAAAGGGAAATTTTCGAAATGAATTTAAAATACGTCAACATTTTATCTTCCGCTCATGACTTCAGGGCACTTACAGTGCTGATTGAGTAACATTCTAATTGAAATGCGACTCATGTAGAATCGATCCAAAAAGTACTGAACGTTCTGGCTGGTGACAGGATCCACCCCGAAGCTCTCCTTGTATTCAATCACACCTTGGGCCATTGTGGGAATGACGTCATTGTGTCGGTTTCGGATTCGTATTACAATATCTGTAAAGCTAAACAAACCTGTTTGTACAAAGAGCCAAATATTTTGACAAGAGAACTTAATACTAAAATACAAGCTTAATCACCCTTAAAAGACAAGTCCCTAGTTCAATAAAAAGAACATGAGTGTATGTTTTTTGTGTACCTAAGTATCTTAAAATATGTTTAGTCTTCCTAGGATATGGCTCAGTGGCACAACACCTGCCTGGTAAATGTAAGGTCATGAGTTTGACTCCCATTACAAAAACAAAAACAAAAAATAGCCAAATCCTTGAAGGTATTGGCACCTCCAAAATAAAATTTTTGAAATTTAATTTTTACAATCCTAACAGTAAGGTTTCCACACAATAAAATCATAAATATGTTAAGAGTTTTCTTTAGCCACTCTCAACCAAAGCCATCTGAGCACTCTCTCTGAGGATGTCATTCTAGGGACATCCTGAATAAGAGGCCGCAGGCTTCCTTCTGTAAGGAATCAAAATGAGACGTTAAGTCTTTTTTCTTTTTTTTTTTTTTCTTTTTTTTTTTTTTGCGGAATCGGGGATTGAACGCAGGACTTTGCACTTGCCAAGGAAGCACTTACTCTACTGAGCCATCTCCCCAGCCCCAAAATATCTAGTAAGCATTCATGTTAACCCTTCAGTGTTTCACAGTTTTTGTTGCATTGGCTTTTTCTTTTCTTTTTTTTTTTTTGGCAGAACCCAGGATTGAACTCAGGCCCTTGTGCTTGCCAGAGAAGCACTTATTCCACTAAGCCATCTCCCTGGCCCCTAGGAATCAAGGTGAGAAAGCAAATAAAGCCCGTGTGCTTTGAAACAGAGAGAAAGCACCTTAGGAACAGAAAAGTAACAAAAGAATCCTAATTTCATTCATTCTATAAGTTTACAAACAGGGAGCGTAAAAGTACCCACTTTATCAAAAAAAAAAAAGCTCTCAAACCATATCTCCTTACTATTTATGTCACTAGGAAGATAAGCAATCACTAATTTAAGGGAAAAAAATAAAAGAGGAAACAAGCCTTAATTACGAGGAAAACTGGTCTCCTCCCATACCAATCAGAATCTGAACTTTCAAATGACTACTCTCCTAGGTAGAGGCAGCACCCTGAGGACTACTAACTTACTCCAGTGTTCTCACTATTCAAAACATTGCGGGAATTCCTACTTTGTAATTACCTTCTAAATCCAACTGTTAAACCAAAATGCAAACAACAAAATTTCTCAAAAACAATAAATTCATAATTCTAGTGCCTCTTTATTTCATCTCTTAAAAAAAATGATTGCCCTTCATGGCTGTTCACTTTATTTTCTAGGTTCAGCTTTGAGTGACTGTTTTCAGAATATTCTATCACTTCTACAGAAGTTTCTAATGTTTACTTTTAAGTAAGGCTGCCTCAGTACAAACCCTAGCTACATGACCTCAAGATATCCTCTTTATGCACAAATGCATTATCTCAGTAGTTATTTTAAGCACTAGACAACATCACTCATGTACAGTCTGCTCCACACCTAGATCCACAATAAGCTTTTGGTGTGCACTATTTTCAGACCAAAACCATGTTTTAAAAATGAAGTGTTGGGGCCGGGGAGATGGCTCAGTGGAATAAGCGCTTCCCTGGCAAACGCAAGAGCCTGAGTTCAATCCCTGGTTCCGCAAAAAAAAAAAAAAAAAAAAAAAAATTAAGTGTTATCACTCCCTTTAAAGACAGTCCCAAAAAAAAGACAGTCCAACTGAATTGTAACATTCTGAGGACAAAAGGTGATCTTTCTGTTGTAAGCAACATTAACTTGAATAAGTAGGTAACTGGCTTTATCAATTCTAGCATGCTGATTATGAAATTATGCTATGTTGTATTATATACATTACTTTACAGATCACAGGTCATAGAAACCCACTATCATGTTTTTATACCCCTTCAATACAACAAAAGGATTGTAATTAGTTGCCAATCTTTTAAAATTGGAACTTTCACATTAAAATCTAGACTTGGAGGTTGAGACAGGAGGACTGCTGTGAGATTGAGATCAGCCTGGGGGGTACAAAAGTGAGCACAAGACCATCCCGAATTGTATAGCAAGACCCTGTCTAAAAAAAAAAAGAGGAGCTGGGGAGATAGCTCAGTTGAATAAGCGCTTGCCTGGAAAGTGCAAGGGCCTGAGTTCAATGCCCAGCTCCGCAAAAATAAATAAATAAATAGAAAGAAATAAAAAAAAGAAAAAAAGTCTAGACTTGCAGCTTTCTTTGAAAACAGAAAAACTGATTATCTGTGCAGTATTTTCATATGGAAATAACTAATAGGAGCTGAGGATGGCTGTCTGACAGAAGAGACATACACTCTCCAGGTTACAGTTCAAGTGGCATTCTTGTCGCCTCTAGATTCTCATGGATCATCACATTTGAACTTTGTGTTATAGTGAAAAGGACCAGGAAGCATTTATATAAATACATATACTACCATTTGCTTGAAGTAGTAGGAGTTTAAAAACTAATCAATTTCTCTAATGTGGGCAGATTTAATACATTACATTTTATATAATGTTTTAATGTTTTAAAAGATGGGGCTGGAGAGATGGCTCAGTGGTCTAAAGCACCTATTTGGAACAAGCTTAGAAAAGCACAGGGACCGCGGTTCGATCCCCCAGCACCACATGCCAGCCAGTCGCGCCCCCTGGTGGGCTGAGCTGGCCACACACACACACACACACACACAC